TGTTTTTATAAAAACAACAATAATGGGATTAAGCCTGACTACTACGGTATCCCGAACAAACATCCCAACACTGTTCTATCCTTATTTTTTATTCGAAAAAAGTCAATAATTATTCGAAGTTCTATTGTCGCCAACTCTTATAGCTTTGACCGGCCACAAACAACCAATTACAAAACTCTTGCATGATCAACACTTTTGTTTCGCTTTTAAACTCCGGTTGACACAGTTTTCAAAAGCGATTTGTCTCTGTCCACATCAATGCAACTGTTGTTGCTGCTGCTGCCGTAATGCTGACAAGCATGTGTTGCATGTGGCATATTGCGCATATTAATGTTGTATGCAACAATTGCCCAGACAAAAGATCAACCAACCTGTTTAAATCACCATGGATTAGACATTATCAAGTTGTACATTTATTGCAACGGTGAAAAAATCTATTTATTATTTATTACAGCCATTGGGGACGGATGCTTTGATCTTTAAGAGAAATAATATCTTTTAATATTATTTTAAATGGTTCATAAATTTATTAAATAGCTCAGGTTTTTATCGGGAAAAATGTTGGCAAATGATATGGTTTCTTTTTTGTAGAGAAATGTTATGAAATTTATCAGGAAAGTTGCAATGTTTCTTATGAAATAAAGTAAGTGTAAAAAGGGGGTTTTTAATCTGGGGGCATGATTTTCCTTTTGGAAAATTAATGATGGATTTTTAAGAGAATTCCGAAAGAAAATTTTTAAGCATATTGTTTTCTATATCGTTTGAAGTTAATAATTGTCCTACCATGAGATATGATCAAAATTAACTAGCAGTACTATGGATTATTCAAGAAGGCTTGCCTTGCAAGGAATTTTTGGGCTTTTTTAGGGATGTTTTTTTTTTTTTCCTTTTTTGAAATTTTCCTGTGCAACAGGCAATCTAAGGTGTGTGTAATTCCAAGTAGATTTGATCTTATTCGTTTTGTGTACAATTACAAGAATTCTGTGTTCTCAAGTCAAACTTTTCTAGGAAATTTTTATATTGCCTTAATTCTATACAAACAGACTCGAAGTAAAAAAGGCTAAATTTTCCAGCATTCGACATATAGAGCTTTGAAATCTGATACTCAGATTTGGATTATTTCAAGAATGATTGGCTTAAGAAATGAACTATATCGGTCCACCTTTTTCGTATAGCCCCAATATACGAGTATATCCCAATCAATAAATTAAAAGTTTTTTTATATTTTTATACCCTCCACCATACTATGGAGGGTATATTAATTTTGTCATTCCGTTTGTAACTCCTCGAAATACTCACGTCAGACCCAACAAAGTATATATATTCTTGATCAGCGTAAAATTCTAAGACGATTTAGCCATGTCCGTTTGTCCGTCTGTCTGTGTGTCTGTCTGTCCGTCTGTCTGTCTGTTGTAATCACGCTATCTTTCGAACAAATTGAGATAGAAGGCTAAAATTTTGCACACATGTATATTTTGCCAGTAGGCAGGTTAAGTTTGTAAATGGGTCATGTAGGTCCAAGTTTTCATATAGCCCCCATATAACGGTACCTCTCGATATTCGGTATTTTGATGATTTTAGCGACATTATTCACCGGAATTGTTTCAAATTAGGCATTTGAAGTTCGTAATGGATACTACAGCCTAAGACAGAAAATTATCTGTGCAGGTCCACGTCTTCGTATAGCCCCCATATAACGGTACCCCCCGATATTCGGTATTTTGATGATTTTAGCGACATTATTTAACGGAACCGTTCCAAATTTGGTATTTGAATGTCGTAATAGATACTGCAGCATAAAACAGAAAATGGGCCATGTAGGTCCACGTCTTCGTATAGCCCCCATATACCGGTACCCCCTATATTCGGTGTTTTGATGATTTTAGCGACATTATAAACAAATTTTTCTTCAAGTTTCGCATTTAAATGTTGTAATAACTTATGACAAAAGTTGCCTATGCAGGTATACGTCGTCGTATAGACATTCGGTATTTTTAAGATTTTAACAGAATTTTTAAAGGATTTTTTTTATTTTATTTATTTATTTATTTTTTTTTTTTTTTTTTTTGGAAATTGCCAAATTTGTACCAAATGTTGGAGGGTATTAAAAGTTCGGCCCGGCCGAACTTACAGCTTTTTTACTTGTTTACATTTTAATCATAGATTCCATTTTTTGGTATTTTTGAGTTTTTTTATGTAGGAACCTTGGAGTGACTTAATTTGGAAGGTATCATAATATTGTAGAATCCGTGAAATACACTGCATATTTTGTGAATAGGTCTCACACGCCCTGAGAAACAAAGACTCCAAATTTGTAAGTCTTTGATGTTATTCTAGGATAAATTGACCAAAAATCATGCGAAGTACGCCTTTAACCCTAAAATATGTTTGTATATTTGTATTTTTTATACCCTCCACCATATTATGGAGGGTATATTAATTTTGTTATTCCGTTTGTAACTCCTCGAAATACTCATGTCAGACCCAACAAAGTATATATATTCTTGATCAGCGTAAAATTCTAAGACGATTTAGCCATGTCCGTCTGTCTGTCTGTTGTAATCACGCTATCTTTCGAACAAATTGAGATAGAAGGCAGGTTAGGTTCGTAAATGGGCCATATAGGTCCAAGTTATCATATAGTCCCCATATAATGTTAGCTCCCGATATTCGGTATTTTGATGATTTTATCGACATTATTTACCGGAATTGTTTCAAATTTGGCATTTTGAAGTTCGTAATGGATACTACAGCCTAAGACAGAAAATAATCTGTGTAGTTTCACGTCTTCGTATAGCACCATATAACGGTACCCACCGATATTCGGTATTTTTATGATTTTAGCAACATTATTTACCGGGATTGTTTCAAATTTCGCATGTGAAGTTCGTAATGGATACTTCAGCCCATGCCAGAAAATTGTCTGTGCAGGTCCATGTCTTCGTATAGCCCCCATATAACGGTACCCCCTATATTCGGTGTTTTGATGGTTTTAGCTACATTATAAACAGATTTTTCTTCAAGTTTCGCATTTAAATATTGTAATAACTTATGACAAAAGTTGCCTATGCAGGTCCACGTCGTCGTATAAGCATTCGGTATTTTTAAGATTTTAGCAGAATTTTTAACGGATTTTATTTATTTATTTATTTATTTTTTTTTTTTTTTTGTAAATTGTCAAATTTGTACCAAATGGTAGAATTTTTAACGATTTTTTGCAAAAACAATGGACAATCTGACTCGCTTAAGGATCAAAATTTTGGCCATAAAAATATCCCCGGACTTTAGTATTTCGAGGGTCTTGACAATATTTTCCAATCGATTCCGCTCTAACTTGATTTCATTAATGGTTCATGTTTCGAAGATGCGATAGGATGCTTTTGATTTCACTTATTTCGAGGATTTTGGCCATATTTTTCAATCGCTTTGTATTAAATATAGTATTTTGGTTTTTTTTTTTGGTGTTTGAAGACCCTCCCACCAAAACATATTTAATTTGAGAAAAACCATTTTCATGGACTTTCAAGGCCCTTATTCTAATTTTTTAATTTAAAAAATTTAAGCCATTTTTATAATTTTTTTCAATCAACTTTTCTGGAGCAATAATTGGGGGTTTTAATAAAAAAATTTAGAACTTTCCGAATATAATTGTAGTCGTTTATAAAAGTGTTATGAGGGACCTCCTTCAAGCATCGTGGATTTTTTATTGTTTCAAGGACTCTCGAAGTAACAATCCGTGATTTTATGAATAAAAAAATTTAAGGTCTTTGAGGGATATAATCTAAGATTGTCTGTAAACATTTGAAGGAGGACTTTCTGTAATTATATCTGGGCTTAGTCTGATTATTGTTATTTTTATAAAAACAACGTTTGTTTATTAGTAGCGAAATACTTTTTAAATACTTGAAGGACTTTCTTAACATTTTTTATAAAAAAATCTTTAAGACTTTCGCGTGTATAATTTAGAATTTTTTTATAAGAATTTAATGAAGGATTTTTTTTTCTATTATCGTGGATATTTTTATTTTATGAAGGACTATTAAAGCGTTGATTTTTAAGTAAAAACGTTTAAAGCAATTTCCTGACCTTTTTTTTTAAAAAAAAAATAAAAAAAAAAATAAAATATTTTAAAAGGTTTTCACGGCTATATCTTAGACTTTCTGCAAAAAAATTATTTAGGACCTTCTCTAATTATCGTTGATTTTTTTTTTAATTTTTTGAAGGACTTTCGAATTTTCAATTCAATTTTTTTTTTCAAATTGAATTCCTTGAATTCCTGCAAATATTTTGCGAAGGACTTTCTTCAATTGTTGTGGACTTGTTCATTTACAGTTTTGCAGGACTATGGGCCTACAATCTTGGAATTTTGATTTTTTTTACTTTGGTATTAAAAAAATGTTTAAAGGACTTTTGCCTCTATAATCAAAAAAGAAAAAAAATCTGTAAAAATGTATGAAGGTTCTTCTTTAATTATCCTTGAATTTCTTAATATACATTTTATGAGGTGCTGCCGAATATTAAATTGTGATTTTTTTTTTCTTCATTAAAACTTTTAAAAAACTTTCGCACCTAATTTTTTTGAATGACTCTTGAAACTGCAATCAAGGATTATTGATTTTTTAATTTATGTTTTTAAAAACCTATCAAATTTATAAAGGCGGAGTTTCATAATTTCTTTGAAAAACAATATTCTCCAAATTTTAATTAAAATACTCTGAAGGACTTCTTTGTAGATTTGTTTTTAAAGGATTGAAATAATTTCCTATCGTCTATATATTTTTTATTCATTCCTGCTCATTTTTTCATTAAAATAACTTTGGAGCTTTCATGGAAAAAATTGTCCATGGTCCATTTTATCCTTTAGTGCCTTTTTCCCTTTGACAAAATAAATCTTTCCACAAATTTGTAAAAAGTTGTCTAATCCTGGCATAAATCACTTTCATCGCTTTAGAATTTTGTCGCTGCTTTCAATCCTTTATTATTTTTTTTGTACAACTCACCTTGGTGCTTGATACTCGGGCTCTGGTGGTGGGACATGAACGTAAACATGTTTGTGTATCACTGGAGCTTGTTGTGGTGGTCCATATACGGGGGCTGGAGCACCATAACTACCGCTTGGCACACTGGGGGCATAACTGCTTGGGGGTGGGGCAGCATAGCTATCACGTGGGGGCTCTGGTCGGGCCACAGCCAGACCAGCGGCGCACAAAACCACTAAAACCTATTTTGGATAAACAAAACACACAGGAGAGAAAGGACACACATCAGAATATTTTATTTTTTTCAAGGGGATGCCACTAATTTTTAATTTTTTTTTTTTGTGTTTATGAAAGAATTTTCAAAACTGTTTGTTTTTGAATTATTTTGTTTATTGTTCATTTTTTTCTTCTTATTTTTTTAATTTTTTTTTTAATTTATTATTTTTGTATATTTTTTCTCTTTGGCACACATACCACACAGAAAGGCTTCATTTTATATGTTTTTTATTTGTGTTTTTCTGAAACGCAATTTGAATTAAATTTCTTTGTTAAAGGATTTGTTTAGCGCGTTTACACACACACACTGGCACACTGTCTCCGGAAATCGTCTCTCTCAAACACAGACGTATTTTTTTTTTTTTTGCAATATATCCTCGTTTTTTGTGACGGTTCTTCTTCGTCGCTGATCGTTGTAACGGTTGGTTGTACACTTCGTTGGTGTCTGTGTCTTTTGGTTGGAACATCAGTTTCTTTTATAGCTACGTCGGTGCTTTGTCGGATGGATGGTTGAATTTCGATGGTTGCTCCAAAATATCACGAACTCGAAAATTGCCAAAATGCTGCAGCAACAACACCAACAACAACAACAAAAGTAATGTAAAGCAACAACAACAATAGCGCCGCCGCTTTGAAGCTCATTGGCAGAAGCAACAGCAGCAGCAAACAACGGTAATAAAAGCACAACAAAACCAAAAAAAAAACCGTAACTACGAACGAGAAGTCGTCGTAACAGCTGAAACTCTTAACGGGCCAAAAACAGCAGCAGCACCAACAACAACATTGAATAACACCAGGGGAGGCATGGCGAGCAAATGCTCATTTTTGTTTCTTTGTTTGTTTCAATAACCAACATCGTCTTCGCCGCCTTGCTGTGGAAGATCAGCCAAGACACCCCTTCAGCAGTAATCATCATCATCATCATCGTGGCTTGTAATGTGCGTAGAGTGACTTTGCTGCTGCTTCTTCTTGCTCAGCCGCAAAAGGTGTAGCCAGATTAAAGGAATTACAGACAACGTCAAAGTCAGAAATTCCAATGCAAAACTATTGCGATTTTCCGAAGATAAATAAAAGGTTAGTTTTATATTGATATAGCGACATTTTTAAATTTTGGTATTTGAAGTTCGTAATGGATACTGCAGCCTAAGACAGAAAACTGTCTATGCAGATCCAGGTCTTCATATTATTCACCGGAATTGTTTCATATGTCGTATTTGAAGTTCTAGGTCTTGGTATAGCCTCCATATAACGGCTCCTCCCGATATTCGGTATTGGGATGATTTTAGCGTTATTATTCCCCGGAATTGTTTCAAATTGGTATTTGAGGTTCGTAACGGATACTACAGCCCATGAGAGAAAATTGTCTGTGCAGGTCCACGACTACGTATAGCCTCCATATAACGGTACTTCCCGATGTTCAGTATTTTGATGATTTTAGCGACATTATTCACCAGATTTCATTAAAATTTCCTAATTGAAGTTTTTAATGGGTACTGCAGACTATGACACAAGATTGTCTATTCAGGTCCAGGTCTTCGTAAAGCCCCTAAATATCCTTACCTCCCAAAATATCCTTACCTCCCTATATTCGGACATTATCCACCGGGCTTGTTTCAAAATTCGTATTTGCCCTTTGTTATGGGTGACAGGAATTTGCCTATGCAGGTTCACATCCAAATTCGTTCCAAATGGTGAAGGGTACTCAAAATTCAGCCCGGCCAAATAAATATTTTTTTTTTTTGACATTTTCGAAATATATAGTGTCTTCGGAAATACAGGCTGAGATGAAAAAACTGCAACCAACTTCAGACTGCTGTCGTTTCTTAGCCACTCGTCCGACAGCTGTTAACATTGAGAATTTTCCAGAAAAAGGTATTCGTGATGGAATTTAAACATGAAAGTGTGATTTCTTTATATTTGGCAGGAAACCCAAAATGGCTATCGTTAGAGCATCCCAGCATTTAAATGTGAAAAAAATATTTTGGGTCTCGTACCATCGCTCGTTACCGTGATACTATCGTAGCCCAATATCAATGAAGTGGACGGAAGAAAACAGCAACATCAGCAGAAATGGTTTGAAAAGTAAAGAAGCGACTTGATCGAAACCCGCGTCGCAGTGGCCGAAAAATGGCTCGTGGGCTGAACATATCGCAATATTATATTCGTCGGCGGGGCCGACTTTATGATACCCTACACCCCTTTGCTAATTTAGTAGAGTAGATTTCATTCATACACGCTATGAAAATTATAATTTAAGATTCAAAGGACTAAATATGCCGATGTATTTGCATCTTTTAAATTCGGACTTGTATTGCCCATTTGGTGCACAATTAATTTGAAATCGGATAAAAATATATATGGGAGCTATATCCAAATCGGAACCGATCTCGATAAAATTTGGCAAAGATATTTCTGAGCTGTATTTGATATATTTCCCTGAATATCGTTGTTACGGAGTGCATATTACGGCTGTGGGTACCAAAAATAACAAATCGGATAAACAATATATATGGGAGCTATAGCTATATCTAAACGGATCTTCACCAAATTTGACATACTAGCTTCTATACTCAATTCGGTCGTAAGTGCCAAATTTCAATTCAATTGGGGCAAATATTAGACGTTTGGTGCACAATCCAAGGTAAATCGGACGAAGTTATACATGAGAGCTATATCCAAAACTGAACCGATCTCGATAAAATTTAGCAAATGTATTTCTGAGCTGTATTTGATATATTTACCCAAATATTGTTGTTACAGAGTGCATATTACGGCTGCGGAGGACAAATATAACAAATCGGATGAACAATATATATGGGAGCTATAGCTATATCTAAACCGATTTCGATCAAATGTGGCATACTTATTTTCAGGTTTAATCTGATCGTACGTTCAAAATTTCATACTATTCGGACTGATATTACACGTTTGGTGCACAATAAAAGGCAAACCGGACGATGATATATATGGGAGCTATGTCTAAATTTTTACCGATTATTTCCAAATTCAATAGGGTTCGTCCTTGGGCCAAACAACATCTGGATAGAGCAATAAATGCGAACTATACTTTGTTTACAAAAATACATGGACAGACGGACGGACGGACATGCATAAATCGACTCAGAATGTGATTCTATGCAGATCATCAAAAGGAACTATGGGTCTATCTCGTTTCCTTTTGCCTGTTACAAACAAATGCACAAAGACATAATACCCTGACCACCTTGTGGTGTAGGGTATAAAAATTACAAAGCTAGTAGATTCGTTCATGTTCTGGAACAGTGGGTGTATGTCCAACATATTATCCCATTGAGATTTATTTGGTAAGAAGCACATAAATATTCTGGAAACAAGCGATAATATCGCTATTTATCGATATTCTGAAGAAAACTATCCCATAGTCGCAGCAGCCAGACAGACGGACGGCACGACATCGCTCGATCGTCACCAAATGTCCTGAAATTGATTTCGTCCAAAATTCGATCGGATTTCCATACAAAAATTATTTTGACGGATGAGGCAGTTTTCCGAATCCAGTGGCTATGACAACAAGGTCCAGGTAATTCAAAATATCAACTCTCCTTGAAACACCTTTTAAGACTGGTCATCCACATTTTTTCAAAAAACAAAACCTCTTCTGTCTTTCGTTATGGCACTGTGGCAACTTCAAGCAAGGCTCAGTGCTCATTTGATTACAATTGTTTTTGGTATTGTTGTTGGAAAATCCCTCCAAACATTTATTCTCTGTACAATATCTTTGTTCATTTAATATTTGTAAAGCTACTGTAAAAAAATGTACCCCTCTCTTATCTTTAGTATCTGTGTGTGTGTCTTTGTTTGTTTGAAGCCACAACTTACAGCCAAGTTGTATAGCTTGTAACCTCTGTTTGTGGATCGCATTTTTTGTTGGGTTACGGACCACAAAGCGAAACACGATCACTTTCGTTTTCATTCGAACCACATTTTCTCAGCTCTCTTCAGGTGGTTCGGTTTTTTGTTTTCATTTTTCGGTTGGTCGGTTGGTTGGTTGGCTGGTGTCTGTCTGGATCGTTAACTCTCTGCCTTTTAACTTCATCATCGTATTCAAGGTGATCTTCAACATCTCTTCGTCAGGTCTTTTTTTTTTTCTTTTTCTTAAACTTGTTTTTACATTTTCCCCTCAGAGGTTACTTGGTTTTGTGACTTTTCGGTAATGAAAGGTTTATTTATTTGGAGCTTCATATTTCGAAGGGGTCGCTTGCTAACTTGTTTCGGTTTCTGTTACATTTGATTCGTCGAATAGAACGGACAACAGACTGATGTGTCCATCTGTTGCCACATGTTGCATAACCGATATGTGTTTTTTTTGCTTTGCCATCTTCATCGGCAGTAATCAATGTCAGAATTTTTTGAATGTAATTTTAATTTCGATATTTTTGTGAGTGTGTACGTCTTTTGAGAAAATCGAATTCTTCGTTGGTGATCAAATGGTGCTGAAGCCATTAAAGCAATTTATTTTGCCAAAAAAAATTGCCAAACAGACATCATAAATATTTTCATGAATATCTGACTACCGTCCGACCGTTGGAGCTTATTGATCTTTGAACTTTTTGTTTGGGGGAAAAATGTCATTTGAAACGTGTTTTACAGCTCTAATTGTTATGTGATTAACATCGTAAAAATATGAACGAGTTGGACATTTAAAATAGCGTGAGGAAGGTGTTTGAAATTTGATGATGTCCAAAGCTAGTTAAAGTTTTATCAAAATAGCAAAAATATAATATTAAAGGCCCGGAAAAAATAGCCATAAATGATTTGTTTGAAGTTGGCTTAGAAGTCGAAATCGTGAAAATGGTAACATGTTTTCTTGAAGTATATTAAATTTCCTTGGGGGTGTAGAATTCAAAACTAACTTCTGCCTCTATATAACAATAATACAGATCCAAATTATTAGGCTTTCTTATTATTAAATATTTCTGCAATAATTAAAATTAGGAGGTATATTGATATAAAAACTTTATAAAAACGTGGACCAATATTGATATTTGCTGGCAGCGTTTCTACATAATAAGAACTTAAAATACCAGAATTTGCCGAAATTAAATTAAAAATGTTTCAAATAAAAATATTTGAAATCGGGATGTATCCCTCGTAGGCGAGGAGTGGGCCGATGTGACCAATTTTTTAAACCAAAGCTCTCTGTTAGATTTCAAAGCACTGTATCAAATGTGGGGGGTACTTTTGTTATTGGTCAAGGCTTTATAAAGAAAGTAAAAGTTTTTGATCGGATAACAAGAAACTCATTTGGGGCTTTGATCTACAAACTGAGAACTAACAAGTCCCTGATAAATCTAAACTTTCCACAATCCAGAAATAGCCTTTTATTATACCCTCCACCCTGTCATTTCGTTTGTCGGTATTTTGACGGTTTTTGCCACATTTTTTCACAGATTTGTCTAAAAAT